TGGGGTTTATTAAGGAAGTAATAGGCTACGACTCAGGTTCAGGAACACACTCAGAATACAATTCTTCAATCAGGACAGTTTCCCCCTGCTATGCCCTCAGACACACCTGTCTGGCCCTTGGTCTCTCTGGTCCTCAGCCTCCAGGCCTGGCCTTTGTCCTGCTTGTGCAAGTGTTACAAAGCTCTTTTAGCTCTGCCGATAGGTACACCTAGCTGCACCCCACTCCACCAGAAAACCTCCTGCCCAAGAGCACTCAGCTTTCTCACTCTGTTGGCTGGAAAGGCTACTGCTCTGTCTCATGCTTTTGGTTGTACTGTCACCATCTCTCTGCCAGGGTGTCTCAGTCAGTCATCTCTGCCAAGGAGGTCCAGCACAGGGATCTCAGGTTCAAGGACATGCTCCACTCCACCTCCAGCTCTTCTCTCTTGATGGCAGTAAGATGCCCCCTCGCCTCTGTTGTTGTTGTTGTTATGTGCCGTCAAGTCAGCCCTGACTCATAGCGACCCCTCCTTTGGTTTCCAAGGCAGTATCACTACGGAAGCAGGATTTCCCAACCTTCCTTCCGAGGAGTGGCTGGTGGGTTTGAACCGCCAACCTTCTGGTTAGCAGTCAAGTGCTTTAGCCACTACACTACCAGAGCTCCTCCCCTGCCTCTAGGAGGGCTCATTTAAAGCCTGGCAGAGTGACAGAACTAACCAATTCTCACATTAGAGTTCCATACACCTTATTTGCATGATCCCACCCAATAATTTGGCAGGAGTCACAAAGACCATGGTTAGAAAAGCCATACCAAGTAATTCACTACACTGTCCACACACACACACAAGTACACACATATCTGTACATCTGTGTATAAACATGTGTTTATGTATGTACAGGTCTACGTATGTGTGTATATTTAATCACCTATATGCCAGGAGATACATGAATGTAGTGACATCAGAAAAACAGAATATACTTGTATGTTCAACGTGAGTCTTCATAGCCAACAGCAGAATTCACAGTGAAAAGATCCCAGATGTCGGAATTACAAGAAAGTACATGGTGAGTAAGTGTGTATAATATGTGGAAAGGATAAAAAAAACTACAAAAAAAAAAAGTCTGAAGAGCAAGACACAAGATGATTACATGATTTGGGAAAAATAAATAACACACAAAAGCAAAAAGATATCCATACGTGTGATGCAGTGAATTCCTCATCTGGCTCTTCTAGCCACAGTCTTTGTGACTCCCCCCAAATGACTGGGTGGGACTGTGCAAATGTGAGGTGCTTTGTGGCCCACCAAGGGGATTGGAGAGCTTGTTCATAATGGCAAGCTTATGTGGATGGGATCATGAAAATAAGGTATATGTGGGGAGTGGTCAGTTTTGCCATCCATTAGGATTAAAATAAGCCATCCCAGCGGTGGAAAGAGGTATCTGAACACCATGAAAATAAGAAGAGCCAGGAGTGGGGCACGTCCTTGGCCCCGAGATCCCTCAGCTGAGGTGGTGAGAAGGAGTGGGGCAGAGAAACAGCAGTGGAGGAAGCAAAAGGAGCAGAACCAAAACACTGACATGAGACAGAGCAGCGGGCTTCCCAGACCATGGAGTGAGAGACTGGAGTTCTTTTAGGCAAGAGGCTTGTTGGAGTACTGGAGTGCCTCCTTGACCACTTATTAGCAGAGCTATAAGAGCTTTGTAACACTTGTCCAAGCAGGGCAGAGGCCAAGGGGCCACGGGGCCAAGAGGGTGATGCCAGAAAGAGGTGTGCCTGTGACACTGCTAAGAAGCTTTGCAAAAAAAAGAAAAAAGAAGGTGGGGACCAGGTTTGCTGGTCCAATAGAGCCTGGTGAAACCACTGAGACTATGGCCCCTAGCTGCCCTGCAGGTCTGGGATTGAACCCACACCTGTGGTTTCCAGCCAAACAAAGTACAGGCAAGTGAGTTAAACATTTACCTCAAGTAGACACACACCCTGGAGAGAACAATCATGGGAGAAGGAAGGGCTGCTTATGCACAGGGAGACAGCTCAGGGCGCAGAAGAGTATGGAGGGATGGACATTGGGAGGAGGTAACCATGGGGAGGAAGTGGGAGGGGAGCGGTTGCATTGTAAATTTTGGTCAATGACATGAGACAAAGTATATGTGAACTGCTGTATGAAAAGTGAATTTGCTCTGTAAATCTTCACCCAAATCAAAATAAAATTAAAAAAAAAAAAGTGCCCATTAATATAAAAAAAAAAAAGAAGAAGCTTTGCTATCGAACAACTGCATCCAAAGTTGTTCCTGATCCTGAACTGTAGCATGCTACTCCCCTAATAAAACCCATAATCGTGAGTACTGTCGGTGAGTTCTGTGTGGTCACTACAACAAAATATCACACCCAGCAGAGAAGTAGAGAGTGCCGTGGGAGGGAGTTGATGTTAGAACTGGTAAAAAGGTTGGAGCGTGGTGGTATGTGTGACTTTGGCCTCATAGGAATCAGCCTTGGGCTGCTGCTGTTGATACTCACCCTCTGTGTTAGATTGGGTTCTCTAGAGAAACACAAAAACCAACAAAGCGTATATATATATATATAGAGAGAGAGAGAGAGAGAGAGAGAAACTTATCTTAGGAAAATGGCTCACAAATGTATAGAAGCCGGCAAGTCCAAACTCCCTGGAGGAAACTTTGGGCTGGCAGCAGCCTTAGCTTCTGCAAGAGCAGCGGGCCGAGAAATTCAAGGCTGGCAGGCAGTACACTGGTTGTTGACGCCAACAAAGACGAATCCAAGATCTCCAGGCCTAGCGGTGGGCTGCTCACTCACAGAAGTTTCCACACCAGGGTTCTAATCCCTCAAAGAATGTCTCTCTTCTCAGGATGTCCCTGGATATCTTGGAAGCAGGCCACACCCCTAGGGAAACTCCCCTTGGGCAGACTGGCCACTCAGAACACAGTCATCTGATCCCATCATGGGAACAACCACACAGAACTGGGGTCCAGCCAAGTTGACACACAGCTCCAACTATCACACCCTCTTAACCTATAGTGAAGTTAGAGGAGGTCAGACGCCACACCCATGTCATTTTTACAGGATAGAACAGAACAGAACAACAATGTCTAACATATCTGCAACTTCAGAAACAGAAAACAGAATAAAGGCAAAGTTATAGCCAAAGATATTGCTCTGTACTCAAAAGTAATTTTTTACTGAATGAAGTAACTGGCAGAAGACTCTAAGACAGCTCCACGATGATATTCACACCCTTGAACAGTCCCCTCTCCTTCACAGGGGCTGCCCTCATGATGTCCTCCAATCCAACAGAATATGGCAAAAGAGAGCTAGTGTACATATTACATAATGTGGTACAGTGAATTACTTAATATGGCTCTTCTAGCTGTGGTCTTTGTGACTCCCCCCAGATGACTGAGGAGAGCTATGCAAATGTGAGGGACTTTGTGGCTCACCAAGGGAACTGGAGAGCTTGCTGATAATGCAAATAAGGTACATGGCACCTTTGTAGGGTGAGACCATGGAAACAAGGTGTATGGAACTATAACATAGGGAATGGTCAGTTTTGCCATCCTGCTAGACGGGAAAAGGAGAGGTGGGAAAGGGGGATCTCACCACCATCAATAGAGAAAAGCAATGAGTAGAGGGCATACTTGGATCCAAGATCCCCGTGCTGAGGAGACAGCAGAGAAACAGAACCAACGGAACCAAGAGACCAGCAAGACACAGTGCAGCGGGCTTGCCAGCCCACAGAGCAAGAAAGCTGAGTGCCTTCGGGCAGGAGGCCACCTGCTAGAGTGGGGTGCACCGACCAGCAGAGCTAAAAGAGCTTTGTAACATTTGCTCGAGCACGGCAGAGGCCAGGCCAAGAGGCTGAGGACCAAAGAGAGGTGTGCCTGTGAGCATGGCGGAGGGGAAGTTGTCCTGATTGAAGAATTATATCCTGAGCAGTCCTGAACCTAAACTGTAACCTGCTACTTCTATAATAAACTCCATAATTGTGAATACTGTCTGTGAGTTGTGTGTGGCCACTGCAATAAATTACTGAATCCAGCAGAGAAGTAGAGAGTGTCGTGGGAGGGACGGTTGGTTTCAGAACTGGTGAAAACCATTGGAGGGTGTGGCATACCCGACATTGGCCTCATAGGAACCAGCCTTGGGCTACTGTTGATCATGGTTCTCTCTCCCCCTTGTGAAGTTAAAGGAAGTTGGACGACACCACCCCTATGCCCTTTCTGCAGACATGTAACTTCCGCTTGCTGGTTTTAATGAAGCAAGTTGTCATGCTGGGGAGGACCACATGGCTAGTAACTGGGGCTACCTCTGCCCAACACTGAGGTCCTCATTAACCGACTCCTGCCCACAACCAAGTAAGTAATTTAGTGTTGATCCTATGAAACATACATATTCTTGATCCTGATGTTGAAGACAGAGTCTAAGTTAATTTCTCTCCAGTTCCTATATTTCCTAACGTATATTCTTGAGATGAGCTGAACTGGTATTTTATAGGACTCTACAAATCAATGAAGGAACAAAACTCAAACCACCAAACCCAATGCCATTGAGTAGATACCGACTCATGGTGATCACCCACTGGATTTTCAAGGTAGTAAATCTTTACAGAAGTAGATTGCCCTATCTTCCTCCTGCGGAGCAGCTGGTGGGTTTGAACTGCTGACCTTCTGAATAGCAAGCAGTCAAATGCCTTATCCACTCCACCAGAGCTCCTTATGAGGGAACAAAGGAAAGCATAAAACAACCAGAAGTCACCCGAACCTTGACCATTTTCTTTTGTTCTTGAGATGAGGTCGGCAACTGGGACGCTTTCTCTCTGTATTTTCCTTTTCTGTTCAGATATCTTAGCCTGCGGTGAAGGCTGTCCCCAGAAAAGACAACACCCAAACCTGGAAGCTCTTTGTCCTTCCTTCAGTTGAATCTCTTGCTGCTGGGGAGTCAGAACCTGTAGGCTGAAGGGAAAATTCAACGTGAGTACTACATTCCCTCTGGGCCAAGATGCTGTCAATGCACACATCTTAACACAAGGACCCCATAGTGTTCACTGTCCCTTCATTTGCTGCCCCAAAACATTTTATACTCCTGAGTAACAAAACCTAATTGTGTGTGTGTGCGTGACTTTCACCAGATGACTGGGTGGGACTACACAAACATGAGGTTCTTGCAGCGCACCAAAGGGATTGGTCAGCTTGTTAATAATATAAACAAGGTACATGGCGCCCTGGTGGGGGTGGGGCCATGCAAATAAGGTGTATGGAGTCTCAATGTGGGGATTGGCCAGTTTTGCCATTCCACTATAAAAAGAGCTCTCCTAGAGGCTGAAAAGGGGATTCACTATTACCAAGAAAGTAGAGCCAGGAGTGGAGCATGTCCTTGGACCCAGGAACCATGCACCAGACCACCTTGACCCAGGGGACAGGAAGAGCTGCAACACCAGGCAGAGAGACTGCAGCAGCAGAGGCAGCCAAACCAAGAGATGGCACGAGACAAAGTGGTGGGCTTGCCGGTACATGGAGCAAGAAGGCCGGGGTCCCTCTCTTCACACCTGTTGGCAGAGCTACAAGAGCAGCTGAACACTTGCTTGAGTGGGCAGAGGACGAGGCCAGAGAGAAGTGTGCCTGTGGCATGGCTGAGAAGAAGCTGTCTTGATTGAAGAAGCACATCCTGAGTTGTTTCTGATCCTGAATTGTAACCTGTTCCTTCCCTAATCAACCCCATAAGAGTCAACATTGCCCGTGAGTTCTGTGCAGCCACTGCAACAAATCATCAAACCCAGCAGAGAAGCAGAAGGTACTGTGGAAGGGACGGTTGGTGTCAGAAGTGGGAAGAATGTCAAGGTGGTGGCCCATCTGACCTTCATTGCACTGGAGTCAGCCTTGGGCTGTTGATTTGGATCCTCCTCCCCTCTTGGGAAGGTGGAGGAGGTCAGAGGCTGCCCCCATGCCCTTTTTGCAACAACAAAATAAAGATGTATCAATAAGTACCAGCCTACCTGTCCAGTTTGTATTGAAGAATTAAGCCAAAGCATCTTAAACCAAAATCAAAACCAAACTCACTGCCATCAAGTCAACTCCAACTCATAGCAACACCTCCTTGGATTTCCAAGGTAGTATCATTTTCCTTCCAAGGAGTGGCTGGTGGGTTTGAACCATCAGCCTCCTAGTTATCAGTCAAATGCCTTAGCATTATGCCACCAGAGCTCCGAAAGCATCATAAGGATAATACAAAAACATTACAAAGACAGACAAAAAATTAAGGTTATTTTCAGACAACACGATCGTGCATATGGAAAGGACATGCAAGGAATTACATGTTAAACAGAAAATGTGCCCCCAGGAACCAACATGGGGCAATCGACTTCCGTAAAGATTTCTAGCCTTGGAAACCCAACGGGGGTCGCTATGAGTCAGAAAGGACTTGATGGCAATAAGTTTTATTTATTTTTTTAACAACCAACCAAAAGCAGATTTTACATACATGTGGTTTTTGTTCTTGTTAGGTGCCGCCGAGTTAATTCTGACCCATGGCGACCCTGTGTGTGCAGGGTAGAACTGTTCCATAGGATTTTTGAAGGCCTGATCTTTCAGAACTGACCACCAGGCCTGAAACCTGAGGGGTTTCTAGGTGGGTTTGAACCTCCAGCCTTTCTGCCAGCAGTCAAACGCTTTTACATATATATTTGGCTGGAGCTGCTCCACACACTCCATGCCATCCCTAACACAACCAGTGGGAACTGGACCCACAGGGGCTTACTAGTAAACTACGAGACAGCTCATGTTGCCAGAGAAGAAATGATTCATAAAATGGCGATTCTGTCAGCAAAGCATAAAGTGACCACATATCTGAAGTTCTGTGGGTCACAGGGTGTCCCACACAAAGGCTCACATCAACTATAAAACCAAAGTCAAACTCACTGACATTGAGTCGATTCCGACTCATAGGGATCCCCACTGAGTTTCTCGGCTGTATGTACATCGTTATGGAAGTAGATCGCCCCATCTTCTTTCCGCTGGGTTTGAACTGCTGACCTTCTGGTTAGCAGTCAAATGCTTTATCCACCATCCCACCAGAGCTCCTGACGTTAACTAGGGACGTGAGGAAGCAGCCCCAGACCGCTGGGCTGCGTGGTGGACCCGTTCCTTGGTGAGGAGTTAACCAACTACCGTCCGGGGACGACACCTACTTCTGTCCCAGCAGCCGAGGCTCTGCGGCTCTGGGCTTCCAAAGTTTCATCCTCACAGTCCTCGGTACCACAGACACTGACCACCCTCACGCCCTTACTAATGCGCCTCCCACTTCCCCGGGCCCCGTACGCAATTCCGAACCCGAACCAGGCACCGCATCCTTCGTAAACAACCCCTCCACTCGGTACGAGCAGAGTGACGCGCAAACACCCGGAGCCCTGACAGTCGGGACAGCCGGAATCGTTGCCAGAGGCGCTCCCCCACGTCTGAGCCCAAGGCGCCGACTCCCACCTGCTTCCCCTCAATTATCTGCACCCCGACGCCCCCCTCAGGACCTCCACGGTCCTCACTCCTCCACGTCCACACATCTTTCACCCCCTTCCAAGGACAAAACACACACTTACCTGTTTTTTTTTTTTTTTTCCTGAACCATGAAGAGTCTCTAAAAGTTGCACTTACTTCCGTGAATTGCTACAGCTTTCCGACCGCTCACGCGTCAGCCTAGTCGCCTACGGGGGCCGGCGAGGGGCGAGCACTTTTGGACGTGTACGGACAAGGGCATTTCCGGCATGGCCTTAGGTGGTAATATGTCTGCGCCCTGCTACATCTGCAGGCTGCCATAGTTGAAAACCCGCCGTACCATTGTCTTGTTTCCTGGCTCTTCCACCCTTGCAAATAATGGATAGATTTTCAGTGGGTCACACTTTGGAGAGAAAACATGGCAGGTATTCAACAGGAAAATTAACAGCAGATTATTTTACTTTAAGGTTTTTCCTATCCACAAAACCAAGTATTAACCATAAAAGGCCTAACCCAAACTGCAAAATCCTGCCAAAAACTGCACTATAGCAGTGTAAATTGATCTTGTCCACTACCTCCTGATTTAAATCTCAAAAAGCAGCTAGGTTGCAGGTGGGGGGGAGGCCCAAATTATCACTAGCAGGCCAGAAGCGACCTGAGAATCAGTGGATCTCCGAAAGTTGGGGAAGGCAGGGATTAACCAACCAATTTACGATTACTCAATGGTTGATATGTATTTCTCCCTCCCCTTCTCTTTATATGCTTCATCATATCCAGCTTCTTTAATCCATTTCCTTTTTCTGGCATCAAAATCTATATACATCCCAAATAACTCAGTATAAGCCTTTGCTCCAGTTTTGGTGAGATCCAATTTTTTTTTTTTTTATTGTGATTTGGGTGAAAGTTTACAGAGCAAATTCATTTTGCATACACCAGTTCATACACATTTTATTTAATGACTTTGACAGCAATTTCCCACAATGTAACAGCTCTCTTCCCACCTCCTCCTCACAATGACCTCTTCCCTGTGCCGTTCCCTCCCATTCACTCCTGCCCCCCAAGTAGTCTCCCGGTGCATACACTGCTCTTCTGTTCTCCCAGGATTGATCTCTCCAAGGAGCGCATCTACCTGACGTAAATGTTCAGCGCATAGGCCTGTCTATCATTCGGTTGGAAGCCACAGGAGATCCGATTATTTTTAACACAGGGAACAAATTCAGCAGGTTGAGTAGAAAAATAACATAGCTGCATCTTTTAAAGACTACATTGTTTTAGTGAAAACACTAGAACGATGCTGTGCTAGAAATTAAAACATCAATTTTATTGAAGCAATAGAAGCATTTCCAAATGGGGAGACACAGACGTCCATGCAAGGTTTTGCGATGCTCTGCATTTGTAGCGAGAACCCAAACCCACTGCCACTGAGTTGATTCCAACTCATACTGAACCCTACAGCACAGAGTAGGACTGCCCTATAGGTTTTCCAAGGCTGTAAATCTTTACAGAAGCAGACTACCTTAGTTATCTCCCACGGAGCAGCTGATGGGTTTGAACCACTGACCTTTTAGGTTAGCACCCCAATGTTTTAACCACAGTGCCATCAGAGTTTCTCGTAGGGAGAAGAGTAAGGGTTTTAAAAGGTGTGGTAAACAAAGGGTATGTTTTTGAAGGGGACAAAGCATGAGGAAAGTTACAAAAGTTTTGATCAACTACAAGCTTAAATATTATCAGTAGGCTTTTTGTTGCATTCTGAGGTTGTTGCGTCCTGAGAGTTGTGTAACAAAGCATTCTGTCAGAAGCTACTTTCCTGCCACATTTATCTCCTTCTCTCAATAAACTTAGTCTCTGCCATAGTTCCAAATTCACAAACAACTAGTAGAAACTGTCCTGGAGCAACATCGTGGAGTCAGCTTAATTAAAAGCAAAAGAGGTTTGTTGAGGGATAGAGACAGTCTAGACCAGGGAAGATGTCTAAAATCACACAGTGAAGATGGCTGCTCTGCCAGGCAAGGAGAAAGGAAACACTTTTGCGTAGTTGGAGCAGGAATTAAAAGTTACAAAACTATAATTGGCTGAAAGGCAATCAGAGGAGTCAAAGGTGGACTATCTAAAAGTGGGGCTTTAGCAGGGATACAGGGTCGACACCTAAGTGGGGTGACATGACTGGTTAAGTGTACGTAATTGGAAGCATGTGTGTTCTTCAGTTTATAACACGATAGTCACAGGACAGTGGCAGGACAGGTTTTTCAGGCAGATTGTTTTCTCAGTCATGTCTGTTTATGGGGCTCCATTGTATAGACTGATTGATAAAGGTATGCATCAAGACCCTTTGGGTGTAAGTTAGCACGTCTTTACCTTTTATTTTTATTTTATTGTGGTTTGGGTGAAAGTTCACAGAGCAAATTCATCCTCCATACAGCAGTTCACATACACTTTGTCTCATGACATTGACTGTAATCTCCCACAATGTAACAGCTGTCCTCTCACTCCCCCCACCCCATGGTCACCTCTTCCCTGTGTCCTTCCCTCCCCTGCACTCCTGTCCCCTTGGAGCTGTCTCCCTGTGTATACATAGCCCTTCTAGTCACCCATGATTGAGCTCTCCAAGGAGTGTTATCTACCTCAGGTAAATATTCCGCTCACATGCCTGTCTTTTGTTTGGTTAGAAGCCACAGGAGTGGGCTCAATTCCAGACCTGAAGGGCAGCTAGGGGCCATAGTCTCAAGGGTTTCACCATGCTCTATCAGACCAGCAAAACTTGTATGTGTTTGACCATAGTGGAAAGACCCTCTGGGAATAGACTGTGATATCCTGCATCTGCCAGAGCTCAGACAAAAAAAATGTTTCCTTTAGGGTATGTGGTCAGCATCAAGGTTAGAGGGACTGCTGATAGAAAAGGCAGTTTGAAAATTCAACGTGGATTCTAGACTCATGTCAAGGCTTTAAAACGGTGTTAAGACTCTGCTTTCAGACTCCTCTGTTTACACACACCAAATGCCTCTGATTTGAGCTCTCGTACAGAAATACTGGAGAATCCTAGTGCAAAAAGGGTGGGGGAGCAGCGCTGACCTCCTCCAACTTCACAAGGGGGAAGGCGGATCCACAACATTACCAGCCCCAGGCTGATTCCCATGAGGCAGAGGTCAGACATGCTGCCACCCTCCAACCTCTATACCAATTCTAACACCAACTGACCCTTCCACAGCAGACTTGGTAGAAGTTGATGGCAGCATGTCTGACCCAACAGGAATCAGCCTCGAGCTGCTGACCTTGATCCTCCTCCTTGCTTGAGAAGTTAGAGGCGGTCAGACTATGACTACTCTGCCATGCCATTTGCGGTACAGTGAATTACTTAGTATGGCTCCTCTAGCCACGGTCTTTGTGACTCTCATCAGATGACTGAGTGGAATTATGTAAATGTGAGGTGCTTTGTGGCCCACCAAGGGGATTGGATAGCTTGGTAATACCTTAAAGAAAGTACATGGCACCCTTGTGGGGATGGGACCATGAAAATAAGGTATATGGAAGCCTAATGTGGCTTTTGCCATCCCAGTAGGCTGAAAAGGAGACATCTCAGAGGTGGAAAGCAAGGATCTCACCAGCATTGAAGGAGAAGAGCCAGGGGTGGGGTGCATCCTTTGGACCTGAGATCCCTGAGCAGAGACAGCAGAGAGATGGCAGCAGGAGAGGTTTGCAGAATCAAGAGGTCAGCACAAGACAGAGTAGCAGGCTTCTCGGCCCATGGAGTGAGAAAGCTGACTGCCTTCAGGCAGGAGCTTGATGGTGGAGTGGGGTGCTTCTCGGGGTACCTACTGCCATAGCTAAAAGAGCTTTGAAACACTTGCCAGAGCAGAGACTAGGCCAAGGAGCTGAAGGGCAAAGAGAGTTGTGCCTATGGGCATGGTTGAGGGGAGGCTGTCCTGATCAAGGAATTGTATCCTGAGTTCCCCCTGAACCTGCACTGCAGCCTGTTACCTCATTAATAAACTCCATAATCATGGGTATAGTCTATGAGTGCTATGTGGCCATTGCAATGAAGCATTTAACCCAACAGAGAAGAAAACGCTGTTGGAGGAATGGTTCTTACCAGAATTGGTAAAGAGATTAGAGGTGACAGCATGTCTGACCTCAGCATCATAGGAATCAGCCTTAGGCTGTTGATTTTGACCTTGTTCCCGTGAAGTCAGAGGATGTCAGAAGATGCCTGTCTCCACCACCAGGCCCTTTCTGCACCATTTTTACAACTATACTGCCAGATTGACCAACTGCATAGTGAATTGCATCCTGGTATTTCCTGACCCCACATTGTAGCCTTTTAATTCACTCATAAACATGTAACTGTGAGTATGGCCTGTGAGTTGTGTGTGGCCACTGTAACAAATTATCAAATCAACAGGGAAAAAAGGAGTGTGCATATGGTGTCAGAAATGGTGAAGACGTTGGAGAGCAGAGGTGGTATGAATGCTCACCCTTACCTCATAGGAACCAGTTTTGTGCTGATACTAATTCTTATGTTTCATCACATTTTTACGCAAACATTGTGCATCTTCTACCTTTGTTTGGCAACTACCCCATGAGGTATTTTCAGAAGCACTGCTAAGCCTATTTTTTCCTACATGTTGCTGTGAAAAAATAAAATAGCATAGCTCACTTATGAAAGCAAATATGTCACAGATACAGGGAACAGTTGGTAAACAAATGCAGAAAGGGGGCATTATTGCATAATAAAAGTCTTATCATTATGACACTACAGTTAGTGTCAGAAGTGGAATTTGGTGAAATGTCTCCTGACTAACTGCAGCACAGGGTTTTGGAAGAGAAGGGATAGATGGGCATGAGATGAGAAACTTGATTCTTGGATGGTTATTTTGGTTGTTACCATATGTAAGGGTAAAAGAAAAGGAATAAATGTTATATTGCATCAGAAGAGAGAAAGCCACATCTGGAGTGGCGTGGGGTAAAACCATGGCAGGTTATGCAAGATGATTAACAGAGGACCAGGTCTTTTCTTGTTGGATTCAGCCAGGAATAAAAAAGTAACAACCAAAGTACACATACCAATAGGTAATATAGTAAGGGAGTGGAAAATGTAAGATGAAACCAGAATGTTTAAAATGTTTTGTTCATCTGAATCTACTATAAATACTTGTCTAATTCCCACCAGCCACTCCTCGGAAGGAAGGCTGGGCAATCTACTCCAGTAGTGATACTGCCTTGGAAACCCAAGGAGGAGTCACTATGAATAAGGTCTGAATCAACAGCACATAACAACAACAACTGAAAGAATACTTTCCATAACTGGAGTTGTAAAACAGACCTGAACAAGTGATGAAAATCATTATCAGGCACTGTAAGAAACAGAGAATGTGTAACTCCACCTTTTAAGCAATACTTATTGGAGATGCTAATAGTGGGAATAGCAATGAGTCTTATGCCAAAAACCCTTGAGATCACATTTGCATTTCAGACAGTCATATTGGACTTTGACCGATAACAGGATGACTGAAGACTTGATGGAGTGACCAGTTGTTTGGTGAATGAATAATAAAGGGATGTCTGTGTGGGGCACAGCCCTGTGGATCTGAAGGGTGTATCAGAATAGGAAATACCAATGATCATCAGCAGAATCTCCTTCCATGACTGGAAGTTAATAGAAGCTGGTTAGTGGACAGGGTGGTATTCTCACTTGAGGTGACCACCTGGGTCCACAGGACGAATGGAAGTGGAGAAGGAACTGCAGCAATGGAGAGATGAGCTTGAGTTTAGACATGTTCCTCAGGCTCTCACTTAGAGTTGAGAGACAGAGAGATGGGGCCAGCAGGTATGAACTGCAGGGGGTTGTGTGCAATTCCAAGCCTCCATCTGGTAGGCATTAACGTAGCCCCAGGTGAATGAGGATAAGATGACCTGGTCCCAAGTGAAGGAGGAAGAGATTTTTGAAAACACAAAATTGGAATAAACGTTTTTGTTGTAAATTGAGTGGCTTGCTCTGGGTCAAACTTTGCTCATGAAAGCAGGTGCTCAGACTTCCAAGTAGACAGAAGATTCTTCAGACCATGGGACATGCTTTTCTCAAGTACCGGTTTGACGGGAGTGGGCAGTTCAAATACCGGCTGTCTAAACCTGGAAGAGATACAGCCATGAAGTGACTGGCTTGCATGCTTTCATGAATGTGCTTACATTAAAAATGAGGGGAATGGAGAGATCCACACTGCAGAGATTTCTCTTTATCTGATGAGTCTGGCGAAAAGAGGGTGGGAGAAGATATTGATATGACTATGATTCAGCTGCAATGACAGCTAAACAGAGGCCACTGTCATTGTGGAGACTGTAATGTCAAAGCCTGGGTTAAGGAGGGCATATGCAAAGCTAGATTAGTGGAGTCCATTAAGAGTTTTTTTTTATGTTCCTGCATGGCTGGTATCTCATCTCAGTGGCCTCATCATGAGAGTTTCTGCCTTAGGGATGAATTGTTGACTGATTTGGACTAAGATTTTAATCTTACTGGGTAAATGTATGAGGAGGGGAAAATAACCCTGTGAATGTTAAATATGTGGAAGAACCAATGACAAAAATGACAAAGGTGGTCTGTGGTGCCAGGAGCTCCTTTATGTGACCTTCTGCCTTGGTTCTATAGGAAACAGCTTGGGAGATTATATTTTACCCTCAATCTTAATTCTTAGAAGGAACTCTTAAGGAGGGCAGTGTGTGTGTGGGGGGGGACTTTCAGGTTGTTTTCTATCCTGGTTTGTTACTTTTGCCCTGGTGATCTCCTGGATTGACTCACATTTCCTGGGTAAACTGTAAACAGTTGATGAATTGACATTTTTGCCTGGAATTAACAAGAGCTGAGTTGATTGACATCTCATGGGTCATGAAGAACTCTCTGAACTCTGGTATGGTGAGGGAGTCCTGCTTTGCCTCTAATGAGGATAGGGGTATATAAACAGCTGAAATACAGAAGATTGAAAAGCCCTCTGGTTGAGAGAGATGCTAAAAGTTGGACTGGCAGAGAAGCAGAGCCACAGAGGAGTAAGTAATCCTGAAGCTGCTATGTTGGGTATAAGCTGGCTCCATTAGCAGCAGAGAGGCCAATGGCAGAAATATCTGAGGGCAGAGTTCTGAAAAAGGCGAGCAGTTGACTAGGTCCTGGTTGGAAGCTGTCATCCTCTGAAGAAAGGTGGTGTTGTGGTGAAAAAACTACAAGTCTGTTTAAAATTGAAAAGTTTGTTACAGTGAGAATGTTTTGCAAAACGAGGACAGAGTTAAGAAGCTTTTGACAAAATGCTCCCTGGGGCTACAGAAATGATGCACTTAAGTCTGCATTATGCTGGTGGACTCTGTTAACACAGAAAATCAAAGAATTTGTTGAAAGAGTAAAGGATCACAAGCAAAAATGACAAGTATTATTAGGCTTAAAGAGAGAAAAATGATTTAAGTACAGAAAAGCTGTAAGTGTGTGCAAAAAAGCCATGGGGGCTGTATTGTCTGATGTTTCCTAACTTCAAGAGAGGGAAAGAGAATCACCTTCAGCAACAACAGCCCAAGGTTGATTCCCATGATGTGGAGGTCACACATGCCTCCACTCTCCAACCTTTTGACCAATTCTGAAACCAATCACCCCTCCCACAGTATTCTCTACTTTCTCTGCTGGGTTTGATAATCCATTGCAATGGTTACACAGAGCTCACAGACAACACTCACCATCATGGATTTGTTACGGAATAGGTTATAACTCACGATCAGGAATGCTTAGGCTACAGTTCTCTGATCAGGAGAGCCTCTCCTCAGCTGTGCCCAAAGGCAGGTCTCTCTCTCTGGTCCTCAGGCCCTTGATCTGGCCTCTGCCCTGCTTGGGCAAGTATTACAAAGCTCCTTTAGTTCTGCTGTGAATGCTTAGAGGCATCCCACTCTGCCTGTAAGCCTCAGCCTGAAGACACTGGGCCTTCCTGCTCTGTGTGTCAGCAAGCCTAGCTCAGTAGATAAATGGCCAGAGGCACCCTGCTCCACCAACACGCCTCCTTCCCAAGGCACTCAGCTTTCTTGCTCCATGGGACGCCCACCACTATGTCTTGTGCATTTTTCCCCTCTCCTCCTATCACCTATTTCTCTACTACTGCTTTTGGTCATCTCTGGTGTCATATCCCTGTCTCCCGGATCGAGGAGGTTCAGCACAGGGATCTCAAATCCAAAAGGTGCACTCCAACCCTGGCTCCTTCTAGACCCTAGTGATATTCCCCCCTTTCAGTCTCTGGGTGGCTCATTTTAAGCCTAGCAAGATGGTAAAACTGACCAAATACAGCAAGTTCCTACCTCCACAAGTGTGCCATATACTTGTTTACCTTAGTAGCAAGCTATCTATTTCCCCAGGTGGGCCACCAGCAGCTCACATTTGCATAGCCCCCAACAGTCATCTGGTGGGAGTTAAAAAGATTATGTTTAGAAGGGTCATATTAAGTAATTCACTGCACTGCATTATTTCATCCACCGATACGAAGTCAGACTTTCATCCATTTAATTGACACAATACAACACTTAATATGTATGCATTTGGTTTAATATCAGCTTATATCTAAATATCAGTGCACATATTTATTTATAAGTGTTTTAGGCTTTCCAATTTCCTGCATATGATTTCCCTCAGCATACTTTTTAACTAGACAATGAAGTAGATTTTTTTTTTTTTTTTTGCTAATCACTAGCCCCAGTGAATGTATCTAAGTTTATGCTATGGATTTTGTGGGACATAAAATAAGACGTAATTGGTCACTGAAGGCACCACCACATTCACTGCATTTATAGGCAATACCACGTTCACTGTGTTTGTAAGATTTCCTGAAGGTTCACTTCTGGCAACAGGCTGTCTCACAAGGACCACGTTCCCATTTGATAGGAGCCCACTGCTATTTACTGATGTCTGAGCTGCCACAGAAGTAGCCATATGAGATTTTTGAATTACAGTGAGTGTTTGCTTCATGGGGAGAGCTTTCCCACAGTCACTGTTTTGGAAGGGTTTTCCTTCTGTGTGAATTTTTTGATGTTCAGTGAGACTTGATTTTTGGGAATAAGATTGTCCACAGATATTGCATACAAAGGGAGTCTTTCCTATATGAAATCTCTGATGTGCTATGAGGTGTGACTTTTTCCTGAAGCCTTTACCACATTCACCACATATGTAGGCCTTTTCTCCACTGTGAGTTCGCTGGTGAATAATGAGATTTCCTTTATGGATGAAGCCTTTCCCACATTCACTGCATGTGAAGGGTTTCTCTCCAGTATGAATTCGCTGATGAATAATAAGATTTCCCTTCTGGATAAAGCCTTTCCCACATTTATCACATACATATGGTTTCTCTCCAGTATGAATTCGCTGATGAATAGTGAGATTTCTGTTCCGGGTGAAGGCTTTTCCACATTCCTTGCATATGTACAGTTTCTCTCCAGTGTGGGTCCGCTGGTGAATAATGCAATCTCTTTTGTGGATGAAGCCTTTGCCACATTCATTGCATATGTGGGGTTTATCTCCGCTATGAATTCGCTGGTGAATAATGAGATACTGCTTCCGGATGAAATCTTTCCCACATTCACTGCAGGCATAGGGTTTCTCTCCAGTATGAGTTCGCTGATGAATAATGAGATTTCCCTTCTGGGTGAAGCCTTTCCCACATTCATCACATACGTAGGGTTTTTCTCCAGTATGAGTTTGCTGATGAATAATGAAATCTCCCTTCTTTATGAAGCCTTTTTCACATTCAATGCATATGTAGGGTTTCTCTCCAGTATGAGTTCGCTGATGAGTAATGAGATTTCCCTTCCGCATAAAGACTTTTCCACACTCCCCACATATGTAGGGTCTCTCTCCAGCGTGAATTCGCTGGTGAATAATGAGATTTCCTTTATGGATAAAGCCTTTCCCACATTCATTGCATACATAAGGTTTCTCTCCAGTATGAGTTCGCTGATGTATATTGAGCTGTAATTTCTTGAGAAAGGTTTTGCCACACTCCACGCATTCAAAATGTTTTTCCTCTCTATGTATTCTCCGATGATGTTCCATAAGCTTAAACTGTCTGGAGAAGGCTTCCCCACATAAATAACATTTATGGGGTTTTTCTCCTGTATGAATGATCTGATGATTAATGAGCCAGGAATTCCTGGTGAAGGCTTTCCCACAGTCGCTACATATGTGTGGTTTCTTTATTTTGTGAGTGCTCTGATGTGTAATGAGTTGAGAGTTACTGTTGTTGGATTTTCCACTCTCAGAGATTTTTATTTCAGTATTTAATTGTTCACTATTACCATGGAGAAAGGTTTTCTCAACTCTGTTAATCTCAGCAGAGTTCTCTACCTCACAGCTTCTGCTCTGGTTGATTAAAGTTAAATCTGATTTTACAGATTTTTCATGTACATCACACATATTATGATTTTCCTTTAAAGGTGAATGACTTTTGTGCTGATAAACCTCACTTTCATTTTGCTGCTGCCCAGGAGGAGGGCCGTCAACTTTCCGTACTTCTATGAAAGAGAATAATGAATCCTTCCATTAGCTTAATTACTAATAAAAGTGACTTTTAAATGCTTTCATTTGAGGTGGCTCTTTAATGGCAACTATGATACGAGTGTACATAAAACTCCAAGTTTAATGTTCCTTAGAGATTGGTAAAACCACAATATTATAAACAAGCCACAAAGTAAAAGCTGATAGTATAGAGACAAGCTTAGATAATACTTAATGGAGTCAAATATTCAGAGACTGTAAGATATAAGCAAGTCATTGTAAACAGCAGACCAAAGAGGGTGGAGGGCCACCTGATCCAAACTGGTGAAGGACAGACTCATTCATTTCACAAATCCTTACTGAATGACAACTATACACCAAGCATATTTGGCTCTGTGAAGAAGGCCGGGTGTCACATTTGGGACGAAATAATTTTCACATATGCATGATAAGGGTACTGGGGAGACACACACATATTTGTTATGTTTACAAATGTTTACATTGATGTTTGGTAAAAATCACTAAAATAAGCAACAAAAGATATAAAGACAGTAGCTGCACAATGAAGCCGTGATGGGTGTGCCAACGTGGATGAACCTGGAAAGCATCATGCTAAGTGAACTGAGGCAGTCACTAAGGGACAAATACTGCATGATTTCACTTGTATAAAATAAGCAAAGTCTAGAAAACAAAAAACTGTTAGTCATTACCCATGTATGCTCCTGGTGTTAGGATCAAAAAGATACTGAACAAGGTTGTACAATTTGAAGAATGTAATCAATGTCACTGAATTCTACATGTAAAAACTGTTAACTTGTATGTTTTATTGCGTATGTTTCCACTACAACTTAACAAAGAGAGTAAAGTAGTTGGAAATTGTGAGAAAGTGATTTGAAATAAAGGGTAGGGTAGAGTAGATAGAGGAATGGAGGATACATCTTGGAGGAAGAGAAGGCTCACTGATGGACACAACCTTTCCAGGGTGGTGTACAGAGTGGGCTAAAGAAAATTAAGAAGCAAGTGTTGCTACTAAGTATATAGACTGAGCCACTGCCTTTTTAATTAGGTGAGGAATTTTACTGACGAACAGAATGGTCAAGCAAACATTCTTGAGCACGTCAACTATAAAGTGGGTAAGACAAATCCAAGTACAGAAATGAAGATCTCAGAAGGATGCATAAATCTTGAGAAAGTCTTGACTGGAGGTAACAAAAGGACAAACTTGAGTATATAAATATGATTTAAGGACCATAAACATAGTAAGATCATGTTCAGAGGAACACCAAAGTTTTAATCATTCTCACATTTAGAGTTCTGGAATTGAAGAAGTTCCCTGAAGGACTGAAGTAAATACAGCGGTTACAATATACTAGGAAATAATTGGAATTATTATGTATATAATGGAATTAAACTGAAGTAGATAAGAGTTATGATCTGGATTATGCTGGAACTGACAATGCGGGGATATAAAAATGTTTTCTCTAGATAAAGAATCATCATGAATGGCAAGAACTTCAAAGCAGAGGGTCCTGTAGATAAGGAGCACTCAAGGTAACTGCAGGGACAGATCGGATTTTAAGTGTACAATAGTAAAGGAGAATCTAAACTGATAGGGTTTTCCTGGTGGACAGATGATTCTAGTTCCTCATAGATATTGGGAACTCATAGTGGAATTATCATCAAGAAGAGTAATATATATCGAAAAAAGTCTATGTTGGACACTATCAACAGATGTCAATTTGACAGTCTCCTCTAGAAAACAGAAGGAGCTTCACTCAGTAAACTGAAGTAAACTTTAAAGCGTTAGGAAAACAGAGGAACAAATGGAAATTATGAAGTTGGCAAAACTTCAGAAGTGAGGACACATGAAGCTCTGGAAGCAGATATGGTGAGAGGGAGTTTACTGTGCAGCACAATATCCAAGGTGAGTTTGGATGCAGGAAGGGAATCAGTGTAACTCAATTAAGGAGGAAGGTGCCTTCCTCAGAGGTCAATGATGGATTCAAAGTTCTCTCTTTGGAGAAAGGCTTGGAAGGTAGAACTTCATAGCAAGGGAGGTGAGAGGTATGGTGAAGTGAGTTCTGTTATGTGGCTTTTGCCTTGATTCTTTGACGAACAGCTTGAGACATATCCACACTAAGCCCTAACAAGTTATCTTCCCCCTACTTGTCAATCCCATACTTTTGTCTAAATTGACTGACATTTCCTGGGTCAGCAAAACACAACTTGATGCTCCTGTGATTGGTCAACATACTAGAGACTAGGAAGTGATTAAAGATGATGCAAATGAAGTGAATATGGTACACTGAATTATGAGCATGGATTGGCCAGTTCCTGGAAGGCCAGGCCGTAAAATTGACAAGGAGTTTACTTATATATACAGCCAACCCCACAGATGTTTCAGAAAGAATAAGGCAAGAGAGGCGAGAAGAAGTTGAGAGCGTGGAGACAAGAGACTTCCTCAAAGAGCTGGAACACAGGTCAAAAGCTGTAACAGTGAAGATGGCAAGAGGCCTTCAAGAGGCACTGCAGCAGAAGTAGCAGCAACAGACCCGTAATGGGCCCTGTGCGACAGTCGGAGGTGATGCTAGAAACCTGGTGCTAGGAATGCAGCTAAGAGCTGGACACAGCGGCTCCACTGCATATGATTTGAGTCAGACAGCAGTGGAGAAGCTGACGGCAGAGACCTGCACAGCTGACCTGGGGCATCCGTGGCCAAGAAGAGGCCTGTGTGGAGGGGACTTGGGAGGCATTCATGCAAAGAGAAGGGTGTCCTTACTTGCACAGCTAAATGGAGCTGTCCTACACTAAAGAAGGGAGGGATATGTTCTCTCTGTGGGGAGCCTCCCAGACGTTGCCTGCATGCTTTCTGCTGTGGGCTGTTGATCCTGATCCTGAGTTATTATCCATTATTTCCTTAGTCAGTCACTTCACTGGAAGTATGGCATGTGAGTTCGGTGAGGTGACTGCAACGAATTCTTGAACCCAGCAGGAAAGGAGAGTGCCACAGGGGTAAGAGGTGGAGTCGGGAATGGTTAAGTGGGAGGGTGGCAGCATTGCTGACCGTCCCCTCAGGGATACCAGCGCTGTGCTGATGGTGATCCTTCCATTCTCCAATCAGAGGACTTCAGGCACTACGAGAACATTATAAGATGGGGTGAAGATGGCAAAGACTGGAAAATCTTAGGAAGATGAAAACTACCAAAACAGAAGTATCGAGATACTGAAGAAATAAACGGAGATCCGTTCTCAGAAGAGATAGAGGGGTATGTTTTTTCCAAACTCCTACAAAGAAAACAAGGGGAAAGTGCTATATGGAGGCTCTGCACATATATCCTGGCACCCCTCATGCTGTGAGGCCTTCTCTGCCTGGAATGTGACCTCCACAGCTGTCCCCTTTACCGGTTTTTGCTCACTCACCTGAAAAGATTCGACTGTCAATTTCATCCAACATAGTCCAGGGCAATTCTCCTTGTTCCAACCTGGACAGCGCATCAGACTTGGTAACTTGATACCCTGTTCATGGGAAATGACAGAAGACTTAGAGACCCCAAACTGGCCTTGGCTTTGGGATGACTGGAGAATGTTACCTCTGGGACAAAACGATTTCCCCACATACTCAGTGAAGGGTTTTCCCTCAGGCGTAAGGAGAACATGCCCACAAATAGGGCCGGAGACTGGACTGCAAATCCACCACCTCAGAGACCCACAGGCATTCCAAAGCTTTCAGCAGCTGAGGAAGGAAAGGCCAAGGACGGGGCATTCTGAGTGACCCAGGCAGCTGTCCTCACCCACGGCCACCAGGTTCCCATAGTTCTCCACCATCACGTCCCGGTACAGGTCCTTCTGAGCAGGCGCCAGGAGCTGCCACTCCTCCCAGGAGAACTGCACAGCCACGTCGCTGAACGTCAGTGAGTCCTGTTACAACAGGGTCCTGTTTAGTGAAGCGACTTCCTTCTGATGACACAGGTGAAATCTGAGGAGAGTAATTCTGCTCACCTTCTCTACATAGGCTGCTGTGAGCTCTGGTAGCATAGTGGCTAAGTCACTTGACTGCTAACCAGAAGGCTGGCGGTTCAAACCCACCAGCCACTCCTCGGAAGGAAGGTTGGGCAATCCTACTTCCGTAGTGATACTGCCTCGGAAACCCAAGGAGGGGTCGCTATGAGTCGGGGCCGACTCGACGGCACATAACAACAACAACAACAACAACAACAAAATAGTCTGTATTTGTGTCTTCAACCACCCATCCATTCACCTAGTTAGATGTTTCTATAAAGTATAGCAGTGAAATGCTCTAAGAATATCTCACATTCACACACAGACACACACACAAAGTGTACATGTATCTGTACACATGTGTTTAGGTGTATGTATGTCTATATGTGTATATGTTACATGTGTGTGTATCTGACCACCTATTTGCTAGAGAGAAAGAGCGGCACTGGGAGAACAAACACAGTCCTACACGCAACATGAGTTTTCACAGCCAAAATCAGAATCTACCGTGAAAACATCCCACATGGCAGATTTACAAGAAACTACATGGTGAACACATGTGCACAATATGTGCAAAGGAACGAAAGAAAGTACGAAAAATGTCTAAAGATGAAGACACAAGATGGTTGGGGGAATTTAAGGAAAATAATATGCACACACAAAAAGAAACAAAGAAATGTGTATGTGTTTTAACATTTGACACTGTATCCAACATTAAATGGATGATGTTTCAATGGTAATGTACAGCTGAAGAAATTATGCAAAATGTAGCAAAGAGCAACATAGGAAAATACAGAAGAGGTCAGTTAATAGAATGACAATGTCCAACATCAGAAAGAAAATTGAGTGATGGCAAAGCTATATCCAAAGATATTATTCTGCACTCAAAAATAATTTTTCACTGGATGTTCTACCTATGGCAGGTAGAGTCTAACTTAGCTCTGATCGCCCCACACCTTTGTTCTGGCCCCTCTGACCATGGGATACTCCTGTAACATGCTATTTAACAGGATATGGCAAAAGTGATGGAATGTCATCCCATGAGTACATGTAACCCATGTTACTCCTCCTGTGCTGGTTTTAATGAAGCCAGTTGCCATACTGGACAGATCCACATGGCAAGTGCCTGGGGCTGCCTCTGGCCAACACTCAGCCAGGAACTGAAGTCCTCCTGGAACTGCCTCCTGTCCAGAACCAGGTAGTAACTTAGTGTTGTGCCTATGAAATATACATGTTCCTGATCCCATGTTGCCTGATGTTGAAGTCAGACTAAGTGTGTTTCTCTCTGGTTCTAAATACATACTTCTCAGATGAACTGAACTGATATCTTCCAGACCTTCACAGATCCATTAGGGAAGAAAGGAAAGCATACAATAAAGTGAACATCACCTGAGCCTTGATCATTTTCTTTTGTCCTTGAGACATGGCCAGCAACCAGGATGCTTTGTCTTTGTCTTTCCTGGATCAGTTTAAACATCTGTTCAGAAATCTCAGTCTTCCATGAAGGGTGTACCCAGAAATGACAATATGCAAATCCTGCAACTTCTTCCTCCTTCTTTTAAGTGATTCTCTTGCTGCTGGGGAATCAGGACCTGCAGGCTGAAGGGAAGATTCAGCGTGAGGGGTACATTCCCTTTGGGCCCAGATGCTGTCACAGCTCCTGGCACTCATCTTAACAGAAGGCCCCTAAAAATGTTGACCACACCTTTATTCGCTGCCTTGGTATACCAGCACATTTTACAATAAAACCTGAGATTCAGAATTTGCAGTAATATGGGTAAAAGATGCATTTCAAAAAATGGCATTTGGTCAATCAGATACATATGTGAAAGAAAAAAAAAAAAAGTTACCCCTACCTCACAAGCTAAAAAACTATCAATTCAGGGTTAACTGATTCTCCATGAGGATGGCAAATCATTAAAGTTTTAAGAAAGTAAGATTACATTAAGGTATGGAAACTTACTACACATATACCACATAAACAACTAACTATAAAGTGAGTATTATTCTCCTGGAGTACAATACAGTGAATTACTTAATGTGGCCCTAGGCATAGTCCTCCATTTAGTGATGTACTATAAACCCTAGCCGCTAAGCCTATGGTTACAGTCCCATTTTGGAGCGAGCTGTGTGCTATGTTAATGATGAAGGATTACAGTGGGATGTATCTTGAGTAACTACCTTATCACATAGTGTGAGTCAAGTCACCACCCTTAGTTCCCTTGATGGTATGGCCTGCATCCAATACATGTGACTGCTCTGGCAGAGTTCTCTCTTGCTCTGGACTCTGCATCCGGTTCATCGTCATCTGACCTCCGGTTCTTGGGACCTGAGCCAGCAGCCTGTCATGTGAGCTGCATTACCAGCTACCGCAGCATCGCAAGCCAGTGGCCAGTCATCTGACCCACGAATTTGGATTCATCAGCCTCTGCAACCACGATGAGTGTGGAGAATACTTCAGATGGATGCCTGACCCACAGATTTGAGACTTGCCAATCTCCACAATCGCATAAACCATTTTCTTAGCAGTTCATGAATCCTGTGAGATGTTGCAGCAAACTATGGAACCCTAAGGTGCGAGAGAGAGTACTGAGGGGAGGAGGAGGAGTTGATGTTAGAGACTGTGGTACAGTGAATACTTGGTACGGCTTTGCTAGCAGTAGTCTTTGTAACTCCCACCTGATTACTGGGTGGAACCATGCAAATAAGGTGTGTAGAACTCTGATGTTGGGATTGGTTAGTTTTGCCACTCTGCCAGGCTTTAAATAAGGCCTCTTAGAGGCAGAGAGAGGAGCTCTGGTAGCAAGTGGCTAAAGCACTTGACTGCTAACCAGAAGGCTGGCGGTTCAAACCCACCAGCCACTCCTCGGAAGGAAGGTTGGGCAATCCTACTTCCGTAGTGATACTGCCTCGGAAACCCAAGGAGGGGTCGCTATGAGTCGGGGCTGACTCGACGGCACATAACAACAACAACAACAGAGGCAGAGAGGGGCTCTCATTGCCATCAAGAAAGAAGAGCTAGAGGTGAAGTAGTGTCCTTGGACTCAAGATCCCTGCATTAGACTTCCTTGGCTAAAGAGATGCCCAGCAGAGAGCACCCAGCTCAGAGAGACACCTGGCTGACAAACACACCGGGCTGAGAGATGGTGGCAGAGGAACCAAGAGCCAGGAGACAGAGCAGCGGGCTTTCTGGCCCACAGAGCGAGAAAGCTGAGTGCTCTTGGGCTTATCTGGCCCACAGAGCAAGAAAGCTGAGTGCCCTTGGGCAGAAGGCTTGCTGGTGGAGTGGGGCACACATAGGTGTGCCTATGGGCAGAGATAAAAGAGTTTTGTAACACCTGCCCAAGCAACGAAGAGGTCAGGGCAAAAGGCCAAGGGCCAGAGAGGTGAGCCAGAGAGCACAGCAGAGGGTAGAGTGTCCTGATTGAAGAAATGTACCCTGAGGATGTTCCTGAACCTGAATTGTAACCCGTTACTTCCCTAATAAACCCCATAATCATGAGTATTGTCTGTGAGTTCTGTGTGGCCATTGCAACAAATTATCAAATCCAGCAGAGAAGCAGTGAGTGCCATGAGAGTGATGGCTGGTGTCAGAGTTAGTGAAAAGGTTGGAGGTTGGCAGTATGTCTGGTCTCTCAGGAATAAGCCTTGGGTTGTTCATAGTAATTCTGTCTTTCTCTTGTGAAGTTAGAGGAGGTCAGAAGATGCTGTCTCCATGTCCTTTTAGCAGAGATGATGGAGTGGTGCAACAGTTTGGAAAATCAGACATTTGGGACATCTTTAACCTCTGCCTCATAGGGACCAGTCTCGTGCTGATCTTTGTAAAAGAAGTTGTGCGTGCATGGAGGAAGTGTAAAGTGGAACAACCAGTTTAGAAAACACTTTGGTATCACCTATCAGGTTAAAGGTATACGTACACTTTGCAACAATGATTTGAGTCTATGGTGTAAAACTAAAACCCATTATTGTCAAGTTGATTCTGATTCATAGCCACCCTACAGGAGCAGAGCTGACTACCATATCTTTCTCCTATGAAGCCACTGGTGAGTTCAAGCCACCAAGCTTTGTGTTGGCACTTGAGTGCTTAACCATTGTGCCACCATGTAGTCCTACTCTGAAGTACACATCTACATATATATCCCACCATAATGAGTGCAAGTTTGAAGCACAAGATATCCACCAATATTTGCAAAGCAGCATTATCTGTACTGGTCCAAATGTCAAACAACCCAATGTACATTAATGATAGAAAAAAATGTTCTGCATTCAAACAATGGAATGCCACAGAGCAACTAAAGCTTTTGGCCTACCTGGAAGCTAAGAATGCCTTGTACGTTATTTAAAGGGTTGTTAAAAATGAAAGAAAACAAAAAGGAATTCTATAGGCAAAGGCTGTAAGTTTCATATGTAGCCATCACAAAGTGAGTACACCAACTCTGGTTCTAGAGCAAAGGAAATACATTTGCGTGTAACCACATGAACAACTCTCACAAATACTGACCAAAGCAATCCTGATTTAAAAAAATGGATCACATACAACTCTACCTATACTCAGTTGAAAATTGGCAAAACTAAATAAAGTACAAAGATCAGAGAAACAAAATAAATGGAAATGGAACAACTAGAACAAGAATGAGAACATCCACACATTATGAAGAATGGGACCAATGCCACCAAACAACTTGTATAGAGATTGTAATGGGAGCCTGTACTGTTGTGTAAACGTTTGCTGAAAATACAACAAATTATTTTTAAAGACCTATAATGACTAGGAATAATTAAGTACATGGTAAACCTGTAAAGAAAAGCCTACAAGTGCCTGCTATAGAGGGAAGGATGGTAATGACCTTAGGATGTGAGCTTCGGGTATGATTGGGAAAAATGCACCAGGTGCATAGCGGCAAATGTTCTGTTTCCTCCCTGGGCAGTAGTTAGTTACATGTGTACTGCCTTTACACTAGTTCAGTTGTACACTTTTTTAAAAGATAAATTTAGAAAGATGAAAGGGATGGAGGCGCTCCAAAATATGAAAAGCAAAATGAACAGCCCAGAAACACCAAAAGCTTGTTCTTTCATGAGACCAATAAAATGTACACAGTCACAGTGAGATGGACCAAAAGATGAAGAGCAGTGCCACCAACAGAGACAATAAGGAATTCACGGGAGAAACGACCTCCATAAAACCAACATGTTCTCGCCACAAACAGAGACGATAAGGAATTCACGGGAGAAACGA